ATTCAGATTACAAAAGAAAGTCACATTAAGCTTCATTATCCTACAATGTATTTATATTTCCTCAGTTTCAAAATAATGGAAAAAAAAAACCCAAAGTTATCACTCTCCTTTCCTCAAACTTTGATTAAAATGTCACCTTTTAGGTAAGAAACATTTAGGTTTTTTGTTTACCATTTAAAGTTTAGTGAATCACTAGTATAATGGGGCTGTCTCCAAAACAATCAATCTCAGGCTACATTAATTTAGATGTAATATCTAAAATGAGCTGAAAATTCTAATTGAATATAGTGAATGGAAATTATAAGAAGGTAGATTTGGGTTCAACATAACTCAAAAATAACGTGAGTTGTCCAAATGTCAAATAGAGCTACTTAACAAGTAGTCAGTCACTACAGGTATTCCAGAGACTAACTGAATGATTTGGCACAAACATAGTAAGGGAGTTCATAGATCCAAAAAAATATAATTAGGCCATTCACTACCTAAGATCCTAAAAGTCTGTTAACAAGAAGCAGGACTTTTGACTTCTCCAATACTCATCTCACACCTTCCTATCTGCAATGACTGAAACCCTATGCATTTATCTGGGCCCAGCGGAAATCCTATCCCCTTGAAAATCTTTCTACTTCCACTGAATTCCTCAACAGAATATAACTCTTTGCTATTAACTCTTAAAGTACTTTTGGCCTTTATCATGGCAGTTTATTGATCATACTCTGCCCTAAGTTACTAATTGTACACCTGTCTTCATCTTCTCTCTATTCCCCTCTCAAATTATAACTCAGCTCTCCCATGAATGCAATTCTCTGGAAACATCGCAATTCTTCTCAACAATGAATGACTTCTCAGTCCTCCACCCATCTGCATTATCAATGTTGACTACCTCCTCCTAACTCTTCTAGAGTTCTATAAGGTAAATTTTCCTTCTCATCAAAACGCAGAAGTTCTCAAGGTTCTGTCTTCTAACCTGGCAATTTCAGCTTCCGGTCTCATGTCTACCTAAATGTGTATCTAGTCTACACCAGAAGTTCAAATTTTACATTCGTCACCACATACTGAATACCTAGACATGACCTACATATGTCCCAACACACACATGCACCAAAGAAAGCTATTTCCTTATTTCTGTTAAAAGTGTCATAATCTTCTCAACTTGAAAGCTCAGTCATGATTTTCTCCCCTCCTTTAGCTTTGCCAAACTGTGAAATCCTTACAACTCAGAAGCTGGAATTTGTGCCCTCCTTTACACTCCCACTGTTCAGACCTTTTAGTTATTCTTCAAAAGTCGTTCAAGCCCTTGTATCATGTGTAGTACAGAGTAAAATCCAAACACCTGCATTCAGTTTGGCATCTAAGGCCCTATACAGAAATCCAGTCTGACATTCAATGTCATAACCAACCTTTCAAATTCATCTTCTACTATATACTTTCTCATTCCTGTATCAAATTCCATACAAATATTTTAATCACCTGTTATTATTCTCTGCAATTTCATTCTCTGGGCCTTTGTCTTACTTCATTCATTCCCATCCACAAGCTGAGTCAATGGGTTAGACAAAATAAATTCATTTCAACATTTATTTTATGGCTACTCTGTATGTACCAGAAACTACAAAAGGAAAAAGAGGCTGGGTGCAGTGGCTCACGCCTGTAATTCTAGCACTTTGGGAGGCTGAGACGGGTGGATTACCTGAGGTCAGAGGTTCCAGACCAGCCTGACTAACATGGAGAAACCCATCTCTACTAAAAATAGAAAAAAGTTAGCCGGGTGTGGTGGCAGGCGCCTGTAATCCCAGCAACTAGGGAAGCTGAAGCAGGAGAATCGCTTGAACCCAGGGGGCGGAGGTTGCAGTGAGCTGAGTTCTAAGTACTTGATATTAGTTATTATAAAAAGAATAAGACCTCTAGTAGTAGGATGCAGTTCTCTTTACCACATCGTGTTACCAAAGGTTATGTGGGTGCTAAAACACAGCTTATCTCCACTACAGGATACTTACCCCTTTCCCCTCTGGAGTCCCTCATTCATAGCTGGGCTCAAACTAGTCAGGTTTATTTATTTTAACTGAACCATGGACTATATCCATTTGCAACAGCTAAATGCCATATCAATACTGGAACTTTCTGAAATTCCAGATGGTCTTTGCTTAAAGTAACTTGAACAATCTAAGGAACACTATACCTTTTTAAAGAAATGATCTTCAATCTTTCGTGGCACACCATTGAATGAAAGCTTCACAAAGATCTAAGAATCATAGTGGTACAAATAAATAATAAAAGTAAGTTATGGACTAAATCTCTTATTCAGGCTCCAAAGTTTTTTTGTTTTCTGTCGTCCTCAGAAGTTGAGGGAAGCTAGTTTTGAAACTCAGAAGCTATTAAAAGTGACCAAGCATTAAGAAATGGAAATGCTTGCTGTCCACAAAAATAAAGCATGTATTTGTACTATGTTGTAACGTTTAACAAGTAACCTACTATTTTCCTTTGTGTCTTTAAAATAGATAGGGCATTATCTTTATTTACAGAAAAGGATGTTTAGAGAGCCTAAGGAAAGGTGTTTGGGGTCCCCCAGTTACAGTAAAAAAAAAGAGGACTCGAAATCAGGTCTCCTGACTCTAGTGATGTTTTCACTACATTTTGGTTAGGAACAATCGCTTTGGAAGAGCAGCCAGCTCTTCCAACAATACAAAAATTAATTTTAAACAAGCAATTGTTAGCTCATGTGAAACTGTTGAGAAGAGTGAAAAGCAAAGGAATACGGCAGGCCAGTAACAGAAAACCCAAGAATCATTTTCAATACACCTATGGTTTCAAGATAGGGTAAAATACTTGGAAATCAGAAGATAAAAGTAAGTGGAAACACAACAGTCAAGAAACTAATTCTATTGCTTCTGAAGGTAGGCTAGGGAGTTGGACCAATTTATTCTATCGGATATTAAACAAGTGTCTACCAGTGGAGAGTAACTAAGTCATGTTTGTCCATTAAATCCTACTGAATTTAAGTCCAGACGCAACACTTTAGTTTTTGCCTTTCAAAATCAACATTGAAAAGGACTCATTCACTGTCTCCACATTCACTCAAAATATGTGGAAAGTCTCTTCAAAGCAATCTAGGGGGAAAATGTTAAATCCTAATTATGGGTAATAAACAGCGATAATTTTGCAGGATAAGGAAGGGAAGTTTTCAGAATCTAAAGAGGCAGTGCCAACACTTTCTTCAAACCAGGAGTTGCCTGCTGACAAATCAACTGCTTAGCTGCTAACTGAACAGTTAAGTTAGTTACTCCACGAAATTATCAAATAACGTGGTTTCTTCTTTACCTTTTAATTTTTATCCCCATCCATCCCACAAGCATTCTGGCTCACTCTTGATGTTTTTTCACTATTACTAATATTTCGACCCTGAATATCAATCTGAGCTTTTAGTAAGCAATTCATTTTAGGTCCTTATTATTCCTACAATTCCTTGACTGCTTTTCAGAGTTAGTTTGTAAAGATTAAATCATAACATAAAGGCCCATATGAGTAATCTTAAAAATTTAAGAAAAATGTAACTACTGCTAAAGAAACGGTAATTCAATCCTAAGAGGTTCAAACGCCTCGTACCGTGTATCTCCTAAGACCAGGAATCTTGGATTATCAAAAGGACCACTGGATCCTAACAGGCCAAAAGTTTACTTAGAAACTTTGTTCACATGCCTAAGGCTATATTAACTGCCAAATATGGAGCTGGAGAAGAATTGCCATCATCTCCCACTCTAGTACACCGGGGCTCTCTTAACGGCAGTTAATGGTTCCTAGATCCAGGTACCTGCAACGCTAACGTTTGAAAGACTAGAACAAGGTATGGAGCCTTGAACCTAAAACCACAGTATCTTAATCCAAGTTAATATCCCACAACAATCATAGAGGAAGAAAAGGACAACTTTACTCTTCCAGCTAAAAGTGCACGTGCCTTTTTTGTTGTTGTTGTTAAGAAGGAAAAGGCACTCTCCCACCACCACCCCCCCAAATCCGTTACAACATTAAGTATGTCTCGGGGAAAAAAACTGTTCTATGCAGGAAATTGTAAACGAAAATCTATATTCGCCCCAAAGCGGCACAGGGCCATCTTAAGAAATCTGCTTTTAGAGACGCAGGGAAAATTCTATAAGATTCCACAAACAAAATCAAGACAATCTAGGGAAGTTTATGTTCCTTTCTGTCCCCCCACCCCCCAAAAAGCGGGAACCCATCCCTCAAAAGTCATTCCCGGGTAAATAAGGGATCGTCTGCATGAGAGGGGGACGAAGAAGGCGCACGTTACAGTTCCAGTATCCGAACACGTTCGGATTAAACCCGCGGTGGCGGGGAGGAGGGGGTTGGTCACAGACTACGGAACACTAGGTACTGGGTAAGCCAAGCGGCGGCTGCCTTCAAACACAGATTCTGTTTCCGTGCACAGAAATGGTGCCCGGAGGCCGCTACTTTCGCATCTGCGTCGCTTCTGCCTCCGCCGACAAAACCTCTTTTCCCCTCCCCCACGGGCGGGGCGGCGACGGCCTCCCCGCTCCGAAGGAACAGGGAATAAGAGCCGAAAACGATTCGGAAACAGGAACGGTGGGCTACCCACCCTAAAACATCCCCTCCAGAAAGCCTACTCCCACACTTCCTGTATTAAGCTTCCATCAGCGCGCCTTCGGGAGCTGCTGCGTGCCCCCCTACTTCGCCACCTCACCCCCAACAAACCTCAACCCCACCTGTGCCCTCGGAGCCCTCTGCACGCAAGACGCTCGCGGGTCACCTCCCTTCCCAGGCGGCCTCCCACCCCTCACCTAGAGGAAAGACTGGTCTTCTCTCACGCACACACGGCAGCGTAGGGAGCCGGCAAGAACAATGTCTCTGCCGCTACACCTCCGGCTCCCGGGCTCACACACCGGACGATTACCTCGCGCCGCGGAGTGCGAAGAAAATGTCCCTTTCCGACCACCACACCGACCTCCCCTCCCGGCCCCCGTACACACCTCCAGCCAACGGCGCCGGCGGGTACGTCGCGCGGAGGTCAGAAGAGTCGCTGAGGACCGGGTGCGGCGGGTTCTTCTTGCTCACCGCCCCCTTCCTCCGACAACTCGGAAGCCTCGGAAGCCGGAGAGCCGCGAGTTCGTCTGCTTCACAACCACCTCTTCCCGGGCGCCAGGCGCTGCGACGAGCGACAAGGACCAGGGACGTCCCGCCCCCTTTGCCGCCGCCCCCTCTTATTGTTTTACCCCTGCCGAAAGGGCCAGGGAACCCCCGAGCACAGCGTCAGCCAATCACGCATCTCCTCCCGAACCGGGCCCAACCTTCCCGTGTCCCTCTGCGGAGCACGCGCAGTACGCTGCCGCGCTCGCACACGCTCGCGCCCGGAAAGCTGGGGAACCGGAACCGGCCTAAAGCCAAGATAAGAGTCCGCTGATTTGACGTCATAAGCGGGCTGCCTTTCTCCTGCCCCGAGGCTCCAGCCTTGCCGCCCTTCTTCCTTGCCGCCCTTCTTCCTGATCGCGCAAGCGAGAGCTGGTTCGCAGCAACGCAGTATCTTTTGTAGACTGATACTCTGGTCCCTTTTATTAATGGGAAGGAGGGAATTTAGTAATCTTTCTGAACTAGGTGTCTGCAGGTTGCTGCTGTAGACGAGCTTAAAATGCAGCCGGTGATTTCAGCTGTTTGCACACTAAACTCACCTACATTGTTTATTTAACCCATCCTAGGTTTTAAGCCCCACCAAGAGGCCCTGCAGTAAAGAATATGACGTGGGCTTTACAGAGGGGGAAAAGACTATTTCTTTGTGTGCTTGTTACGAATTTAGGCATAGCTAAATATCAATACATACTAAAGCATTTTACATACTAAAGCTGAAAGGCCTAAAATATCAGGATTACAGTCCTAGTCCAGCTCTAAGCCCAGACTTGCCCCCAAGGTGAGACACTGGTGACCTTGTTTCATGGAAAAAGCCAAGCCAAATCTTGTAGTCAAGGAAGACACTTCGCATCTTAGGTCTGGCAGTGTTTTCAGAGAATACCGAGATAGCACAGGAATTTTGGAATGAAAGACTGAGAAAATGTTCAAAGAAATGGAAAGAAAAAAATACATTAATGAATGCTTTCGAACTAAACATGGTGGACGCAGGCATATACATTTCATCAGTTTTCTTCGCGGTCCTATAAGGGCATTTTTAAGGTATTTGGCACGTGAAGACAATATGTCAAATACCTTAAATATTGGCAGAGGCAATGCCAACATTAGGGACTCCAAAGTCTACAATATCTTTACCTTTAGACTGCTTAAAGATATTGTTATATGCAAAATATTTGGGCAGACCATCACTTTAATGAAATGAACCTGATGTTTTTCCTTAACGCATCAAAATACATGCTGGCTGTCCTTTAATATACTGGGCTTATATACCAGGCATTCTTGTAATTACACAGCCTTCTAAGGCTCACAGTAACCCTGTGAACTAGTTCCTTTTTTTGTTTTTTAGACGGAGTCTCTCTCTGTCGCCCAGGCTGGAGTGCAATGGCATGGTCTCGGCTCACTGCAACCTCCGCCTGCCGAGTTCAAGTGATTCGCCTGCCTCAGCCTCCCTAGTAGCGGGGACTACAGGCGCGTGCCACCACACCCAGCTAATTTTTATATTTTTAGTAGAGACGGGGTTTCACTATGTTGGCCAGGCTGGTCTGGAACACACCTGACCTCCTGATCCGCCCGCCTCGGCCTCCCAAAGTGCTGAGATTACAGGCGTGAGCACCGCACCCGGCCAGTAGTTGCTTTTTTTTTTTTT